GCCCGCAGAGGCAGGGCTGTCCCCCGGGAGCGCTGGCCCTGAGATACACACTGCGCGCTGGCCAGCGCCCTCTCACAGCGCAGTTGTCCTCAACACGAGGAAGTAAATTCTCCCAGATAAAGGCCACGCGAGTCTTGGTGGGTGGAGGGCCGTGATGTTTGCGGCAGTAAATACATCTCAGACCCTGGGAAGTGTTCGTTCCTGGAACCTGACAATGACCTCCTGGAGGGTTGACAGCGGGCAAGTCCCCGGCTGCTTTGGGGGATTTATCGTGGGGAGTCAGGGTCCTTCCGGGAGGAGCTGCGGGAAGACTCAGGGCAGCGGGCGCTGGGAGGGGGGTGCCCCCAGGAGGCCCCTGGGCTGCTGCTGTCTTGGTTTGTTTTAAAATATGTTTTCATTGATTTCAGAGAGAGGGAGGGAGAGGGGGAGGGAGAGAGAAAGGGAGGGAAAGAGAGAGGGAGAGAGAAAGGGAAGGAGAGGGAGAGGGAGGAGGAGGAAGGGAGGGAGAGAGAAACATCATGATGAGAGAGAGTCATGGACCGGCTGCCTCCTGCACGCCCCACACTGGGGATCGAGCCCGCAGCCCAGGCCTGTGCCCTGACCGGGAATCGAGCCTTGACCTCCTGGTTCATAGGTTGACGCTCAACCATTGAGCCATGCGGCCGGGCTGTCCTGGTTTTCGGAGGAATTTCTCAGGCTGCTTGGGCCTGGGGCACTGCCCTCTGACACCCGTGCAGACACGCCTGGCGCAGGTGGGCTCGGCGTGTGACGCGGTGTCTGCGAGCTGTGTGCTTAGAGGCCCCTCCGAGTCCTGGCCCGGCTTTGCCATCACTGCGTTTCCGTGCATGGCAGGGTGGCGGCCTGGGAGCCTGCAGCCTTGCCCTGTGCTTGCTGACTGAGCCGGGCCGGGCAGGTCCCCGGCAGGCTCCCCGCTCAGCTCAGCCCTGGCTTCTCCCCGCAGGCTGCCCCCGGGGGCCGGCCTCATGGAGCGGATCCAGGCCATCGCGCAGAACGTCTCCGACATCGCCGTGAAGGTGGACCAGATCCTGCGCCACAGCCTGGTCCTGCACAGCAAGGGTGGGCCAGCCCCTCCCCCTTCC